ACTTTTGTTATTGACCAAATACTTACAGTATTTTCCACCATTATTTGCAAAAAAATTCTTTAAAAGTCAGACAAAATGATTTTCTCAAATTTTTTTTCACATTTTGTCTCTCATAGTTGAGGTCTACCTATGATGTCAATTACAGGCCTCTCTCATCTTTTTAAGTGGGAGAACTTGCACAATTGGTGACTGACTAAATACTTATTTTCCCCACTGTATGAGGTTAAATGAGGACAAAGGATAAATGAGTAAACAGGAGGGTCTTCCTCAGATGATGCAGAGTCGGCTAAATGATTTGGCCCTGCGGACCCCACCTGCCTGCGCCGCTGTGTAACGCCGCTTCGCTGACACCCTCACTTTTGTTATTTCATTAAAACGAACAGAATCACATTGTTTTCTGAAACGCTCCTTTTTGCGGYGCGTGTATTTTGTTGATACAAGGAGCTATTAAATTAGCAAAAGCGGAATTGCCGTGAATTGAATTATGGTAATGCCTTTATCGTTCGGTTTTACGCGCAAACACTTACACACACACACACACACACACACACACACACACACCTCCAGTTCATTTTACGGCTACATGATCACTTAACCTTTTACACGGCTCAGCCTGGATTTTCACAGCTGTTCATGTGTATAAATGTGTGAGTGTTATAAACACACATGGWTAACACATATTGTTCATGATAATTGATGGGGAAAGTGAAGGAGGAAAAAAAGCTGATTGACTGGAGCCGTGTTAAGGTGTGAAAGCAGAAAGGGGAAAACTGAAGGTAAAAACAGAATAAATAATAAAAGATGAGGACAAACAAGTCAAAGTAACAAACTGAGTGGAAAAAAGAAAAAGCAAATGCTTCAGAAAAAAAAGTGGGGGGGGGGGGGGGGTCTGAAGTTTGCCTTGGCAGGCAGGCACTCTCATTGAGATTCATTGTTGCTTTTACTGGACAATAGCAGCCACTTTAAAAAGCCCGAGCACATGTCCGAGTCTGCATTAGCAGCTGCTCAGCACAACAACAACAAACACTACAGGAGAGGGAGGCGGTGGAGGAGAGGAAAATCAGCAGAAACGAGAAAAGATGGAAATATAACGACGAGCCATGGCAGGAAAACGATGTTTTTAATTAGTCAGTTTGATGCAAAGAAGGCAGTTTCCTTCAGTCCTTCTCTTTTTCTTTCCGTTTTCTCTTTCTGGGGTTCCTTGAAACCTGCTAAGTGCCATGGAGAGGGAGGCAGGATTTCACAGCCCCTTGCCGGCACTACTAAATATAGCTGCAGTCGCGGGAGGCCAAAACACAATCATTACTCTTCCAGACACAATGGAGAGAGGAGAGGAAGCGAGAGATATAATAAGACTGCAAAAAGAGAGGGATGTAAGACTGAAAGGAAGGACAAGAAAAAGGCAAAAACTAAACTTAAAAAGGTTGAACATGGAAAGCACTGAACTGATGAAAACGAGTTTAAGCTAAATTTTCATGGATGTAAATAAACGTTAATGTAATAAATGAATGTATTGCAGCTGTAACAGATAACCAGCTTTAGTTCTGTGTTGTTGTCCCGACTCTTTTTCCACCCTTCTATATTCTACATTTTACCAACCCATTAAATCCAAATAAAACACTGAAATTTCACAGCCAACACTCGACCTTCTTCCGTAGCTCCTCGGCCGCTCTCCGTGACGTCACCCCGTATGCTGAGCCTCGACTGCTGGCCATGGCCTGCTGCTCCCTGGCGAGCTCTCGCGCCTCTGCCCGTTCGCTGCGCTCCCTCAGCAGAGGCGGAGGCGGCGGCGGAGGGGGTGGCAGTGGCGGGGCGGGTGCGTCCCTGCTGTGAGTCCCTGCTTTCGGCCTCGGACTCTCCCTGGTCCCTGCTTTGCTGCTGTTAAAAACTGGAAGGGAACAAAGAAAAAAAAAAAACAAATGGCTGTAGACTCTTGTATAATAGCTTTTCACACACACCAACACACTTGTACAAGTCGTATGCTACAGTAAGATTTGTAAGGACCAGGGTTTATATTGCGTAGCAGAAACTTGCAGCAAATWTTGTACTTTTAACAGAAATAAAGTACTAATACTGAACCATTTTGTGTTCTTTACTACAAAACCTATGTTTTGTTAACTTTAAATAAAGTTTCCAGAGATTAAAGTTTTGATTTAAATGAAGTCTTTGAGTTTAGCCAGATCTCTTCTAGCAGTGTATTGAACCTGTGCATGATTAACTTTTTCCATTTTTTTTCCATTCACTTCTTTAAAATGCACAAATTCACAACACTGTTGTGTTCAATTTAATTCTAATAAATCCAATCATTTTATTTAAATCCAGTTTAGTTCAATTTAATAGAATTCAATCATTTTTTATATAAGTGTATTTATTTAGCGCCAATTCGAAATGAGAAGCCTAGCTAAGAAAACCAACGAATTGCACTGAATGTCCAGCTCGAGTCAATCCCCCGTCCTAAGACATGCAAAAACAAAGAGGAAAAACTCCCTTTTAACAGGAAGACACTTCCAGCGGAACCAGGCTCAGGGAAGGCAGGCACCTGCTCGGACCGGTTGGGGTTTCAGAGGGTAGGAACAGAGACACAAACAAATGCAAAAACAGTACGCCGGCGATACCTGCTATCAGAAAAAAAAAACACAGAGTTAATGACTCCAGTCATTTAAAAACATGCAGAGTTTGGAGAGCAGAGAGAGAGATTACCCTTCTACACAAGCACCTTAGACTTGTAGCAGACTCACCTACAGGGTGTCTTTGGGCAAGTTAAATATAAAACAGTTTAAAGCCTCTGCTTTAAGGTATGAAGAGTATTTCCCTCCTGAAACATTTGAGGAATAAGTTTTCACTAGAAAAACTAAATGATTGAAATTCCTAATTATCTTTATGATGTAGCAAAGATTAAAAAATTGGAAGAGTTAACTGGACAAAACTCATCTGTTTTAATGATTTCCATTTGAACTCTAAGCATCATTTTGGATCAGCATTGTTTAGCTCTTTGGATATCTGCAGAATGAAAAGATTACAAAAAGCCTGCCCAGAAATACCGATGCACTGAGCCGCAGCCACATTTCAACAGTCTTTAGGCCATGGTTTAGGAATAAATGTCAAACATGTCATTACTAATTCCATTTGAGAGTGGCCCAAAGAAAAACACTGGGTTCGAATTTGTTTTAACAAAGCTAGAGACAACAATAATCTGCCTCTTATCACAAGAGCTGGTGCTTGAGGAGAAAAGTATTGTGTTGCAGAGAAAGTTGAACAACAACAAAAAGATTTGATGATATGCAGTGAGCCACAAAGAGCCAACAATAAAACAGGATGTCGGTAATACAATACACCCTACAGTAGACCTACGTACACCTGTCATCAGGATTAAGCAGTGTGTGGTAATACTGCTCCGATTGAAACTTTACAACCAGGTAGAAGCTCCTAATAGGTATGACAAGCCAAAACAAATAAATACAATTTAAAAAAATGTTGGGTTCTGTGGAAAGTTTCAAAAGTGGAAGCATCATATAGACCACACTGTGCTTTTTCAGGCTACAGTCAGTCAGCTGAACGGCTTTTAACCACCAGGGACTCAACCACAACGACCAAGTGGAAAAGCCAGTACAAACACTGGAGTGATAAACTTTTGGCAAACATCTAACCCCTAATCACTAAAATATGCATGGTTTAGAGCACATATGAAGACGTCTTTATATTATTGTCAATGAGCCTGTTCAAAAAAGGGCTTCATCTGCATTAACCCCAGACCATGGAGCTAAGCAAGCCAAACAGTAGCGAGGCAATTAACGTACACACTCAGTAGCTCTCGTTTTAGCTTAAATGAGCCTCAATTTTAATTTTTATTAGGGGTTTTTGAAGCACAGAGACCTTACAGTATACATATATTTCAGCACTTGTGAGCTTCTTTAGGTCTCTGGGGGCTCGGGTTTAATGGAAAATGAGTGAAATCTTGACATTTTAGTGAGCTAATCATAAATCAGGGCCTAATAAAAGCTGGTTAAATTAGCTTTGTCAACATGGCACATGGCCAAAAGAGAAATAGTAGCAGAAGGACATAGCAATCATGAATTATCAACAATGTAAACCATATCTCTTTTTACTTCCCAGAATAAAATAATCTTTTCTCAGTCCTCCTCAAAGTCAATTTCTTCCTTTTCCTCAACTGCAACCCCGTTTTCTGTCTTCACTTCCCTCCTGTGTCTCCCTAACAGCCCATAAGTGTTTCTCTTGGAAAGTAGCCCAAGCTGCATATTAAAGTGTCAGATTTGACACCAATTTTAATTCTGCAAAATACACCAAGGTGTGAGCCTGCTTTTTCTCTCTGTGTGTGCCTAATAACTAATGCAGCATAAATGCTGTCAACTCTGAATCAATGGCTCACTCTTCCATGTGTGTGTACACAAATGTCCTTAACCCCCTCATCTCTATTGTCCTTTACAAAGTATATCGGCCTGTCCCCCCYTTATCTATTTATTTAGCATATCACAGAGAAGGCGCCAAGCTGCTTTGCAAACAGTGTTTGTGTACGAGATAAGAAAAAGGAGAATACACCGTGCTCATGTACGCAACAAGCCTGGATTTGTTCACACAGGTTTCGCTCTCTCACTGTTTGTACTTCTTGTACAGTTTTATGTTTCAAGCTGCTGATACACGTGTTCCTGAGAAGGGATGAGGGAAACCTGTACGTATCAGTGGGTGTGCAGTGGACAGGCACAGTCAACGAGCTATTAGATGTCAGAATACCCTTCTCCTGGAGATCAAAGTATACAAATCTTGGGATTTTTCCGTCTGTTTCTAAATCCCATTAGGCTCTTTGCTGTCTTCTCCACCAAATTCTGCTTAAGATGACGGAAGAAAAAACGCTGAACAAAGCATTCACCTGTTAAACTATTCAGGTGGCACCTGAGAGGGAAGTGGAAGAACTATGAAATCCAACCCTTGTTTCATGTCCACCAAGTCTGTGAGGGAGGCGSTTTGTTCAACCTTTTTTCAGTCGCGCTCTATGAAAAATTGGGACTCCATGAAGACAATGGTCCACTGCTGGGCTCGAAGTCAATTCGTACGTATCTTTAACAGATATTTGGAAACTGAAAGATATATTTAGACAATAAGATCCAGATCAACACCACTTTTGTTTGCTTGCAAGTAATTTCCCAAACGTTGGACATCGTGTGCATTCATCTGAATGTCTTCTGTACCCTGAGGGGGAGACATATGCTGCAACTGTAATGCTGTATGTGTGTGTGTGCAGGGCCATGGCCAGCTGTTGCAGTGTGTGCATAAACACCTTGTTAGGGCTTAGTAAGCTAAGTGTTAATTGGGGTGGAAAAGAATTTGATGCACGGCTCTGCAGTTCCATGTAATTTGCCCTTTTTTTCTACAGCTGAAACAAAGAGTTCAAGCAGGAATTTGCTTATGCGTGAAAAAGACTTAAAGCTCAGAAACGTGTCTTTGTCGATGACATCATGTCTATACTTTGGATTAACTAGAGTTAGCTCAAAGTTCCATATATATCTTCAATGATCTTCTCTTCTCATCCACCTCCTCACCCTTTTGTTCTCCTTTTCTTTTTGTTTCACCCTACAGTACTCCTGCACCTGCTTAACTTCTGTTTTGTCTCCCCTTCGTCAACTCATCTTACTGGGATCTCTGTGATGCTTCAGACTAACTGAAAACAAACCAGTCCAGTCTGTGAACGTTAGGCACACTTTGTTCCGGGCTCGGGTCTGGTTCTTACCGTGCCCGTTGAGTGGCTGCCTGGCGGGGAGCTTGCCCTTGCGGGGCGTAGAGTTGCAGGAGGAGGACGTCGAGGCTTGGCTACTGCCTCCCACACCATGCGAGTGGACACTGCCACCGTTTCGCACCTCTTCCTCCTCCTCCTCTTCCTCCTCGTCCTCCAGGTCCTCCTCCTCCTGGGAGCTTCCAAAGTAAGCCATATTACTAGGCAAGGCAGATGAACCTGGAAAAAAAAAAGAATGATCAGATATAGCTTGAAATTCTACAAAATAAAATCCTTTATGAATACAACACAGGTGTTAATCTATTTGTAGATTAAAAACTTGCTTTTAATTCTAATCTTGCAGTAAAAATGGACCAGCATCAGTATGCAAGTGCTGAAATATTAACATAAAATCACAAACCGCTCAGGGGTTTGAAAGTAATGCTGATTGTGCTGCTGCTTTTTAATCTGTTATTATCCCAGCTGGTGGCCTATTGATGCTTTGCGAGCAGCTCTGAACAGAGTAGGGCCATTGTTACGCTCACTCACAGCTAAATGCACAAACATAATCAAGAACATGAGCAGGACAATATTAGAATGATGGCAGTTTTACTTAAAAACAATTTGTGCCTGAATAAGGTGAAACTACTATCTTTTTGCGAGTTGCTTTTGTGGAATCTAAACTGACATTATTATTATTCATACGTATTGTTTCTACAATTGTCATGCTTTTATTCATCTTTTTTTATTCAAGTATTTTTAAAGGCCACAGCACAACCTTGGAAGCAGTCACAAATAGAGAAAAAGGAAAAACAAAAAGAACGACTTGTTAAATGTGTGTTTAGCTGGAACTAAAGCCAGAGCTTTGACAATGGAATACAAGTCGTCTTTTCCACAGAGGTTCTAAACTATGACAGTTTTGAGACACTGTATATTATGTACATGTGCTCAAATTGTAAATCTAGAATTGAATTACTTACTATTGCCGCTGAGCTAATCCCAAATCTGTCTTTTTCACTTTTCCTAAACAGGATTATCTTCAGTCTCTGCTTCTGTTGGGAAAGAAAGAATGTGCTCTCTCTTTCCGTTTTCTGTCAAAGTCCATAACTTTTCCTGTCATCTTTCTGGATTCTGGTATAATGTGAGCTCGAAGGAGAGGGATTGTGTTTGGCAGCAGATAGCCGGCAACGCTACCTCGGTAGGCTGAATGTAAACATGTGCTCGGCCTCACAAAAGGTTACTGAGCCCAAAGCTGTATTAACAAAGTCCCATGATGCTGCACTCATAAATCAGAGCGCTAAAAGCCTCGCCAGAGTCCTCTCCTAACTTACTTCAGTTTGCATCGAGAAACTGTGTAAAAACAAAGACCACAAACAAAAAATAATGTTTTAATAAGACTGGAGATCTCAGCAGAACCTTTGTTCTTTATTGTAATGTGCTGCACAGACAGAAGAAGCCATTTTCTTGTTTAAAAACCTCCAGAGCGAAACTTGCACGTGATGTAATCGTTCCTTTTTCCTGAATGGGATTCACAAAGTTTTGTTTAAATCTAGCTGTGTGTGAAACTGGATTTTTTTGAAGTTGTGAGGCCTTTACAACTAAATCGATAGCATAGCTTGAGCAAGTACTGCGATTTTTATTACCCTTTTAGGGGCTTTGGTGTTTAAAGCGTAGTAATGGAAAGTAATATGTGATTATAAGCCAATTWAAAAAAATTTAAGCCTCTGAGAAAAAGGCTGAATTCAGCTGGCCTGTATTAAACTATACAAAATACTTAAAGAGCATATAATTAGACTTAGAAAAAGCAATCATTTAATTAGCAGACTTGTTTTTAGGAGAAGACTGAATGCTCGTCTTAGATATTACACATTCAATACAGATAAAGCCAATTAGAAGATTACAAAATGCAAGGACACTGGGGGCATGAAAATTTATGACAAAGTTGCTAAAAGGATAAATCAAATATATATGAGAATAAGCTGGAAATGAGCAGGAAAAACTGTAAAACCAATTCATTTGGTCTTTGATTAAATAAAGACGTTTTAAGCTGAAAAGACCCCAAAATCCCAACGCTGATACCAGTTAAATCATCGTTTAGTAACTGGGATTGTGAATTAATAACTATACAATTTGTTGCACACACATTTTTACAGCCCAACTATGCTCCAAAGTGTGTATGCGAGAATTCATTTACTCATCTGGATTACAAGTAAATCTAAGCTTTACTTAAAACAAACAAACAAAAATCAGTGTGGCTCAAGGTTGAACTCTTGTACAGAAACATGTTTGGTTCTGCAAATTCAAATTAACAAGCAAGAAATCACTTAGTGAAGAGTATTCACAGCAGAACTTGATAAGATAAAAAAGTGAGTTTGGTTTAAAAATACTGTACGTATGTATAAAATACATGAGTTTGTTCCTCCCTCTCTGCTGTRCTGCAGCTCCAAAGCCCCTCCCTATACAGGGGGYGGGCTGCCATCAATGCGACAAGCATTAAAAAACAACACCACAAACAGCTATTATACGTCTTGTCGTGTTTTCAGTTTTTTTAAAAACTCATCAAGCACTGCAGCCCACATTCCAACTAAAGCAGCACACACACACATACACAGACACACAAATTTGATCTTTCTGACAAAGCAAATGTTTTTTTGTTCTCTYAGAACAGAAACACACAGAGCCAACACACACACTGCTGCAACCAGCTTTTAATCACTAGCTTCATTAGCTAAATGGTTGTAATTTGCTGCCATGACCCGGGGTCAGCAGGCCAATGTAACAGACCGCAGGGCCACCTGGGGGTAGAAATGGTGGGGTGGTGGGGCGTTAAAATGATCAAGTGAATATTAGCACATTAAAGCAAGCATGTGGGTGCTGATTTTTAACATTTTCAAGCTACTTATACACCGGTTCTGACCACTGGCTTTCTAACTGAGTGGCAACAGGATGTACCGTCACAAAAACTTCTTGCACTGATGCCATAAATTTACTAGTCATGACAAAATTAATGCAAATACACACACATGGTTAAAAAAAATATTAAAAAATGCTTTTTTTCCCTTCAAGATCTCAAGCAGGGCTGGAGCCCAATACTCCAATTACACCAGTGTTTTTATCCAGCTCATTTTTGGCCAGACAAATCATAATTAGGTCTGAAAGAGTCTATTAGGATTGTCATTTTTAACAGGGCTCCTGGGTGGGGTTTCGTAATTATAAACTCTCCATTTTCTAGCTACCCTTCTTTTCTTTTTTTTTCCCCAACCAGAACCGAAACAATGAGGGCAATTTAAATAGTCAATCAGGTCGGTGTAGACACCCATGGAAACATGTGGAGTGATGGCTTGAAGGTAGTGGAAAAAATGAGAGAAATTCAGCCAAGGTTACAACACTCGAAACCTGTCAAAAAATGTGATGATTGGAGAATAACGTCGTAGAAATTCATTCTTTATTGTCACTAAGAAAGCTGRATATGAGATTGAAGGAAAACCCACTCAACTATACAAAATAAAAACAGCTTCTTGAGTTCATCTCAGTATTTACATAGAGGGAGCACAAACAGCACATATAAGTGAAAATGTGCTTCTAATCATCCCATAATAAAAAAACATGTTTAAGGAATATTACGTCTAACAGTTTGCTGTGAGGTTTGAGGTTCCATTCAGTTCTCAGTACTGACTGTTTTTTTAAAAGATGTGAAAAGTTCACATTTACACGTGTAATCACATCATTGCAATCTGAGGTCTTTGGTTCACTGGGTCAGTGCTGGGAGGTTATGTAAGCAGAGCGGTAGGACTGGCCTCGCTGAACTCGAGAGGCAAAACTTCAGGGTTGGCAGGCGGACGAGAAAGCCCAAAGGGCAGTGAGGTAAACMCAAACACAACCGCTTGCTGGGACAACACAAACGCACTGTACAGAAACAAATATTAAAGAAAAAATAAACACTGGAAGTCAGTTTTATGTAAAAGCATGTTTGATGAAGTCATTATATTTTGCATGTATTTGCAGGTTCTTACTCCAAAAAAACATATCAGTTTTTGTTGCACAAATGAAATATTTCATAAAATCCAGAAAATAAACCACTTAATCACTACAATCATTCATTTTTAACTTGTTCTTAACTCAGTGCTGCCCCCTCCCTGCCGTCAGCAGCGTTACATTTTATTTCACCCGAGGCCAAAAGGGCCAGAGGCAGACTGTCTGGCTGCTACTCAAATGGCTTTCTCCACGGATATAAACAGCCCAACTACAGGCCTGGACCACACATAAACACCATCATGAGAGCACAGGAGAGAGCTCGGCTCTGCCGTTTGTGTGCACGGATGTGTGTTTGCATGAAAGAGAGATAAATAGCGAGATAAATCCTAAAAAATAAACCTAAGACGGTGTGCGTGGTGAGCATGCATGATGTGTTTCCTTCCTTACAGTAGAAATTACTGGTTCTGGTTGCCTCCACGTTGCGTCAGAGTTGCGAGGCACCCCGTTACCTCCCTGGAGGAATAAAATCCAGATTTTTCTCCCATTTCATAATTATACGACTAACATTACCTGGTAGAATAAATTGTTAAATGTTCAGATTACATATGCAGATGAARAAGCTACTTGAAGTCTTCTACTTTTAAACCTTTTTGCTTATATCWCTTCTAATCTTTTACCTGCTTTTATGTAGCTGTCACAATGAGTGATGGATAGAAGCCTTTTGGGGAGAACGATGTAATGTTTACCAGATAAGATAAGCAAACATTGCAGTGGATGAATGGAGTGGGGGATGAGTGTTTACACACACTGAACGTTTGACCTGGGACAAATCCCAGAAATCACCACTGATAGGATTTCAGRTTAGAAAACTTCCACTTCTTAAACTTAGTAAGAAAACTGCAGACTTCATAATGTGGTTGGAGATTTTTTTTTGGTTGTAAATTTGGTTAGATAAGATGCAGTTAGATCACCAGAGACGTGTATCAGAACCGTAAAGGGGATTGGGGGTTTCTGGGAAAAAAATCAAAGACCTATGTCCCTTTGAAAAGATTAAAAGACCACCACAGATGTCCTCGTATGCTGCGTTTCCTCTTATATCCTGGATGTTGAGCATAGACAGACACGTGCAATCGTGCACAGACACGACGACRGGAGGCAACACACAAAAACACACGAGAGATAAGCAGAACAAACAACATCAGTGGTTTGAGTCGATTTGTGCATACACACATCCTTGAACGCACACACACTCGGACTCAACCTCAAGGGCTCTGCTGACATTCTCCCATGTCCGTTTTCTTGGTGAGGGTCCCTGCATATGGGTCACAGAAGAGGGCCGAGGGAAAAACAGACTAAAAAAAGCCCATAAAAAGAAAYTGTCGTCCTCATCAAACCCACACATTAACACACTTATATGCACAAAGAGCTGAAGCAGAACCAGTCTAGCACAGTCAGACAAGAAATCACTAACTCCAACCTTATTTATAAAAAAGGAAACCCAGTGAAACCAAGTCCAAACACCTTTACCACAGAGTTAATCTTCCCTTCAACCTCCATGAGACATCWGCTACATCAAATCAAGGCATCTCACATCAAAGGTTTTAGTCAGTTTCAGCAACCTTCAATTATCCAGTCACCAAAGAGCTCTCTGACGTGAAGATGACTCACTACAACAGGAGAATTTTTCTAAAATTAGATTAGCACTTTGAGTACTTTGTTGTAAACTAGTCTGAAGTGAGATGTTTTGTCTTTCAACTGTGTTAATGAGAACATCCATCATCTATCTCCGCTTCTTACTTTCAGGGTTACGGGGGTCACTGGTGCTCATATCCAGCAGTCACAGAGCGAGGGGTGGGGTACACCCTGGACAGGTCGCAAGTTCATCACAGTAATGAGAACATATCATACAAAATCCTATTTTTGAGCCATTAAATACATTTTGTTGGGAGTCTTCAGGAGAGCAGAAAGGTTTAATTTAGTCTGCAAAGATATCTTTATAATCTTTTTGATCATATTTTTCTCTATTTTCTATGACGTTTTCTGAACTATTACATCACAGTATTTGCGACAGAGCTGCCAAATAAGGTCTGGACTTGCCAACTAGAATCCGATGGTCTTCATTCTCCTCTGGTTCTGGGTCAGACTCCGGCTCCAACATGTGAGGCTGGATGGACAAGTCWGCCCTTGTTGACATMTTTTAGTAAATTTGTAAATAAAATGKTTTTACATCGCTGTATAGTTCCYTATAGTACCCCTCTATTAATTTAGAATGAACCGCTCCTCAAAACGAGTTGATCTGAGACACACCTCGGTAAAGTGGGGTTACAGTAAGGAGGAATTCAGACCAAAGCATTGCAGTTTCACTTTATATAGACCCCAACTGATTTAAATGTTAAAAAACAAGATTTAAAAACTTCATATGTCTCCTTTAATTCTAAAACAAAGGTTTTGCTTTTTTGGAGGAARCTCGCAAAGAAGCTTGTTCAGAGCTTTATGCAGATTTGGACTGTCTACTTTAAAGCAAATAAAAAGCTGTAATACAGTACATAGTAAGTGTTTATAGATGCAGCAGAAACCCTTTTTTTAAATTTTTTTTTTTTTTTTGCAGGAGCCTGGCAGTCGACTGGCCAACTGTGGCCAACAGAGCATAAATTGTAACACAAGACCTTCATTAACTCTGATGTGAAAAAAAGAACAGGACTTCAGTTACCATCGTTGTCTGGAGGGGTCCGGGTTACTCTGAAGAACTGACACCGAGTTGATTCGGGTGAACGGTAGTGTTTTTGGTGTCAAACAGTTTTCCTGCTAAATCCACCCTCAACAAACAATTCTGCTGTGTGAGACAAAATAGCACTGCACACACACACACACACAACACACACAACTAATTCAGCTGCTAATGGCTCTGCCGTGGCTTTTACAGTTCATTTGACATCGAATGCGTGACATAGTGTCGATGAACCTGTGTCGTGTTTGTAGGGCAGGGTGTTGTGATTGTGTGAGTACTCATGTACGAACAGCTGCTGTAGTGAAGGGTGACAGGCAGGGTGTTAAAGAGACAGACAGTTGCTGAAAAGTAGGAGGGGGAGATGTGTAAGCTGATGAAATGCGGGATAATCTTAGCCTTGGGCGAGTGTGCAGCTATTCGCAGTGTGTGGAAGGATTTGTGCGTGTCTTGTGTGCGTTTGGGTGGGTGGAAGGTGATCAAACTCTCGACTTGGCGAATCTTATTATCGCACACGAGTTGCTTATGCATCCATCTTTATGTGCAAATAACCAGCAAAGTGTTGTCAAGCCCCAGAAGTAACGCACAGTTAATTTCCAGTAAAGACCTGCTACTTGGACCAGGGTGAAATATCAGAACAAGCTGTCTTTGCAGTGTTCTTGTTACACAGCATTCTTCCTGCTCCCCTGCCGGGTGTGTGTGTGATCACGTCTCCATCTGCTCCGCTCTGCTCTTACCTCTGAGGCAGAGGAAGGTGAGGAAGTCTTCTGTCTTGGGCTTGCGCCTGGACAGGTCCTGAATGAAGGACGTCAGGGACGAGGAGGAGGAGAGCGATGAGAGGGTGGAGGATGGCGCCGCGGCCAGGCCGGCGGGCAGGCTGCTCGGGTCGGCCACTTTGATGGGCGTAGTGCTGGGCGAGTTGGGCTGCGACTGGGCGAACTTCCTTTGAGCCTGGAGCCGAGGCCTGAGGAGGACAGAACAAGTTTAACCATCAGACRCAGAGATATCAGTGATTTAAAGGAGGCATAAATCCTTTTTTTTTTTTGCACATTTAAATCATTCAGAGTCTATATAAAGTGGAACTGCAATGCTTTGGTCTGAATTCCTCCTTATTGTAACTCCACGAGCCCCTCTTTCCCCCCTTTTTCTGAGGCATGTCTCATATCAACTCGTTTTAATGCTGTCTCTATAAATCCTAACTAGGCGCTTCACACACACACACCAAGTTTTAGAACGGTCCATTGCAGTTTGATAGCTTGATAGARGGGTTTATGATTATATAGCAGCGCAGAAAATTTTTATTTGTTGGCACGTCCAGACCTTATTTAGAAGTTCCATCACAAAAAACTGTGATGTAATAGTTCAGAAAACATCACAGAGAATAGAGAAAACTGAACGGGTAGAAAATTATGACCCAAACAGAATATAAAGATATCTAAATTAAACTTTCCTCCACTTCTAGAGACTCCAAATACAAAAAAAAAAGTATTCAATGGGCTAAAAAAGTGAATTTTGCATAYGTTTTCCTTTAACCTGGTTGGTTTACAGAAGTTGATCAAAATAACCATGCTGCATTTATTCATACCTGCATAACCACAACTACTGCAGCCTTAAAGCTCATGTTTTTTATGTGGTTTCCCTGCAGAAATTAACCTCAAGCCAGTTCTGTGCTCACACATCTGCTCATCAGAATGAGCTCATCATCMTGACTGGATGTGCAGCTCCTCACCAGTGGACATGAGCCGAAGTGAGTGGGCGTCTGATTTTAACTGACAGGGAAAATTACAAGCGCAAACTCACAGACAGACGTGCCGGYTCACCTTTTATTGCTGCCGTGAATGAGACTTCGCTCTGAGGCAGCCAATCCTAACCAAACACAACCCCACACAGGGCAGAGTTTTATTTACCTCCCTATCTGTATTTAATATATCGGCAGCATCTTTACTTTTTCCTTCGTTATCTCAGTCTCTTCCTGGCGTCCCACCCTTTCATGCTCCMCTCTCTTCCTCTACATTGTGTTTGCACTTCTCTGCGGAGCAMAAAGCCCTTGAGATGGTCTTTTTCCTTCTCTTTATTTCACAGCATGTGTCAGYGGAGGCAAGCGTAAGAGCAGAATATTAAAGAAGTATGTGTCGGGTGGGGGAGAAATGGACTTGTCACACTGCCATCTTCAGACAAAGCAGCAAACACACCTGGGTGTGGACACTCGCACACACAAACAACAAAAAGTCCCAGACCATCGGGGACCACACGGACCAGCGAGCAGCCTCAATCGATTTGTGCTGCTTTAGGCGTGTGTGAGAGCACGAGCTACGCTATAAGCGCTAAGGAGTAGTGATAGAAGGAATATGATATCCTGGTGTTATTTGTCAATTTGCCGCGGAGCAGACTGAGGTAAGGGGAGATAGGATCATGTCTGGAGAACACTGGCAGCGCATTCGGCGCAGCCGCTGAGAGCTTCAGAGCTCCGATTACACTCCAATCAGAGAACAGTGCCAAGTTAAAACGTGTCAATTTCCTGCCCTGACATGGACTCAAAATGTGAGAAATTGAGAAATGATTGGTCGAATGTTGCCAGAGCTGAACATTTTAAAAGCTTGGCAGTTGTTTGCGCGGTGTTTACCATCAAATATCTGATGGTAAAATACAATAAAAGTTAAACTTCAAATGTATTCTCTTTTTTGAACATTTTTTTGTTTTATGCACATGTTTTTACCTAAAAGTCAATCTACCTCGATTGGATGATGGACAAACAAAACGTTTTGCTGGGCTAAATGTACTGAAACCAGAAACGGTGAACATGAATGAGCATGTGTGCATAAGAATCCAGACAGAACCAGATAAGCTAACAGAGCAGGGCTATTCAACTGCACCGRGTCGGGGGCCACAGTTACTGCAGGCCAACAAATCAGGGGCCGAACATCCAGCAATTAAATTCATTATGTAAATAAACCAAGTATTACAAAGATCTGTTACCTTTGAAATAGTTTATTTTGCTGCATTTAATCATGCATATTATATTAAAGAACATTATGTAAGAAAAGTAGTGATAATAAACCAATATCCAAAACAAAAACACTTTATGCCTCCTATTTAACACAAATATTATTTTGACATCTGACTTCCAAATTTTTTAAACCAGATGTTTTTTCACTTTCATAGTTTTATCTTCATCWGCTTGTAAATTTAATTGTCTTGGATGTTCATAGAAATGTTTTTTTTACCAGCTTTTAGCCGCGATTCTAACGTTTCTGTAGATCCCACACATCTCTGTCTAACTAAAAGAACGTACAGTAATTWTAGTGGAAAACTGGGGGGTTTGGGCTTAAGAGATGAATGAACTAATTGGCGGGCCGAACTTTGGTCACTCACGGGCCACATCCGGCCTGTGGGCCGCCATTTAAATAGCCCTGTAATATAGTGAAGCACTCCCATCCAGACACTCAGTAACAACTTATTTAGATGAGCCTGGTGTTTTTCTCTTGCCTGATTTGTAAACAATTAACTAACATTGAAGATTTACTCGAGGGCTTTTCATAAAGTTTCACACTGAAAATACGCTTTGATATCTCTCCGGACCAAGGAGCGTCTTCTATCCCTGAACATTTTTATATTCCGTGTCAGTTCTCAGCTCGTCTCCTGTTTAATGATATGCTAACGACGAGGACATGCCTAAAGAAAAAAGGTAATAAAAAGGGATCCGCTTCGCTGATGATGAGATAATACGGGGGTTTGTGGAGAATATAAAAGCAGCAGATTAGATAAATAAAACAGTAGCACCTCTTATTGCATAAACAGCAACTCCAGCAACAAGTAATTACTGAAAAAGGTGACGTGTTCTCGTTTAAAAACAGAATTCACAGGGCGAAAAGAAAAAAAAGATAAGTGATAAAATCATTTTTAATGTGCCAGAAAACAGGAGAATAAAACCACCTAATTAACGCCTATTTTCTTTAAAGCGATGTAAAGTTCTGCCAATAAATCCATGCAGAATGGTTTTCTCATTAGAAGCAGCGTTTCAGGAGACAACAGGAGAATAACCAGGAAGAGTCCGAGTGAATATTGAGAAATCAGCATGGGAACAATTTGCTGTGACATGGCTGTTTAGTAAGAACTACCACTGTACTAAAAGCTGGGTGTAACACAAGCCCCTGATTTATCCCTCAGTGTACTCAGATGAACACTGTGTGTGTGAGTATGTAGACGTCAGGGTACGCTGTGTTCCCAAGCCAGACCAGCTACAGAATCCTCATTGGTACCACGCTCCTGTAGGAAGGTGAAGCTTACTGAAGGTAAAATTAGACTGAAAGCATTGATTAAAGCAGAATGAGAGAAGAGATGAAGAGAAGTGGCCGGGAAAAGAGAGGAAACTGAGATTCAATACCGGGGAGAGAAAAAAAAATAGAGATTACAGCAGGATGTCCCCATTTATCCCTTTCTAATCCACCCATCCTCCCTTCATCTCTTCCTGTCCCCTCCTCCCTTCCATCAGTGTTTCACCTTATAAAGAACCGCTCTAATGTCTAATATCAAACATGAGACTGAAACTATTTAATGGTTTTGTCAGCAAATGATCCCAGCGAAGAAAGAGACAAAATAAAACCAAAGAGGGTCATTTGAGATGATGAGATGCAGGGTTCAACTCTCTTTTTTTACCTGCCTGAAACAAAAATGTTCAAAATTTCATCAAAAATAAATAAATAAATAAATAAATAAATGAATAAATAAATAAATAAAAACACAAAATGATGATTGACAGAAAAAACATTATGAAACTTTWAAAAAAGTGCAGCTTTTTTTAAAATAAAAATTACAGAACATGAAAAACTACGCAATTTACTTTGCATTAGTTGAATCTATCTTATATCTAAAAGTACATGTAAGATATCCTGAACTGGAGCCTCCTTACAACTCAATGGTAACTCTGACATCCATAATGCATTTTCAGATATTTGGAATGCGAGTGTGGTGAAGCTGATTAAATGTCAAAAAGGCTTGCCATACAGTTAAGCCTCAGTTAAATAAAAAAAAATACATGTTTTCCCTTCTTCAGTTCAGATGTGAAAAAAACAACTACGGTTTTTAGGGCTTTGCTCTGCGTGACTTCCAGCAGAAGGTCCGGAGGGAGAAATTATGAATATTATTTTATTTATATAAGAATGTTAACCTAGGTGCAACATGTTTTTTAATATATATATTTTGTGATGTTTAAATTCACTGCAATCGACATTTCATTTACCATCTTTCCAGGAAAAGCTTATGTTTTCCCCTCAGTTACACTCCAACACTGACGCTTAGGAGACAGAACAAAGCACTAAAGGAGGAAAGTTAAAAGGCAAAAACATTTAAAGACATCTTTTTGTGGACCTGAGGTCACATTCTGTACATGGTAGTCACAACTGTGGTCCCCTGCAGCATGCAGGCTGTTATGTGTGACGGTGTGTGTGGTTTGGTTTCAGACCTTTGCTGTACCACTGTAACCAGATATTTGGATAAGACTGGCAACTGGAACATGAGCTGCTTGTCCCCGTGTTAAATCGCACACTTTTAAAGAACTCTACAGTCCGGTTACTTAAATACAAGCGGTCACCAGGGTGAAGCAGAAATAGAAATATTAAATTATTCAATTTGAGCACAGAAAGTAAGAGAAAGCACTGTAGAGAATCAAACATGAAACAATATTCAAAGATGTTCCTCAATAAACTCAATAAATAAACTTGATTTATTAAAGTTTCAGACAAATTTAAAGGCTTAAATAAAACAGAGTCTTGGGTCCATGTACGGYGCGTCCAGCCCCTGATAGATGATCAGCACGAGGCTGCGCTCCAATCAGGCTTTGTATTCCCTCCCATGATAAAGGTTATGGTTTGAAGAGAGGAGCACTGATCCAGGAACTGTACCTTAGGGGCTCTATTAATTGGCTCCAGATGGCCCACATGGTCCTGATAAAATGCTACCGCACTT